TTCTCACTTTCGTAATACGTTAAATTGCATCTAAAATTTTCGGGAAAATGATACAGAAGCCCTTGTAATTTCGAAAAGACTCAAACACCCCTATGTCCAAAGAGAATGTATTTCTAGAGATCTAAAAGCACTCTGGATAGCCTAAAAAGTGTTTTCAATGTATTTAGGAGGAAATCGTCGTTGGGTGCACCTTGCAAAGAGCGCTTAATTCCAGAGGACACTTGCGTCCCTTTTCTTAGCTTAGATATCTATTGGCATTTCATCACGTTCGTCAAGATCAGTGTATTTACAAAGTTTATCAAACCAAAGAAATACTTGTGTTCATGCAAGTGATTGAGCGTATTTGAAGCAAGCGTGAAGCGCACGATTGACGGGCAGCAGAAGTCATGTAGAACGAAAGAAGCCCTGACTAATCTGATAGTAGACGTAGGTTCAGGAGTATACATCTTTGACATCTCCACTCTGAGGACGATTAACTGGTCCTGCCTACCCCTCCCCCCTTGTGTTCCGCGCTCAGCTCATGCTTCACCTTCGCCTGTAACGTATCAAAATGGCGCCTGCTTTAAAAAGTACAATTATCACCTGTTCACTTTGCGGTCTCAGACAAGACCACTTCATTAAGATCCGTGGTATATACATTTCTGTACAGCTGTGATATTAGTTGTCAACTTAAACGACATGTTCCCTCTCAGTTTACAAGTTCTTTGTTTCCGTTTCACCTTCGCCATCTTTTAAACTGCTCTTATCAAATGCACCTGCAAATAGAAAAACTAATCATGATGACGGTTCCCTTTCGTATGTATTCTTTGCACGATTTATTTTAGCCATCGATCAACATGCTTCTGTTGCTCGTTGTGCTAAATATTTTACCTTAATACCTCTAACACATTCAAAGTCAAACAAATAGCAAACCTTTACACTTTGAGGAAATTAGTTGTACGCTAAAAGTTTAGTAAAGTCGTATTGTATCACGTTCAGCTTAAATGCAATTCGTATAATTTTCGCACTGCATACCCATTGTTCCGACACGGGGGAACTAAGTTATGGGAGGCAACCGCGACTGCCAGGACAATAGGCATGCGGAATAATGAGGGTTAGCGACGTCAACCGCCACCAGGGGAGGTGGGAGGGGCGAAATTTCTAAGCCATTTCCACTAACCTGCGTTGAACTAGCCAAGAGGCGGGCAAAAACTAAGCAAATCTAACCAAGGGCCGCAATGAATCATGCCACCAGCGTGCAGGCCCAAAACGACGGAATTTACGGAGTTACTTAATTCCCGCGTCACGAGCCAATAATGTATGCAGTGGGAATATTTTACTTTATTTTAATTTCCTTCGTTTTCTGTTTATATACTGATCAGATTATATCTTGAGGAAGGAGGTTCATATCAAGACAACCATGCTATCCCTTGCAGCCCGTGCAACGGTTGACCAAAATATCAACCATCTCCTCTGTTACAAAATCGCGACTACCAAGAGAACTAAAGCGAAACGTATTGTAAGACCCAATTGAATCGAATAAAATACTGTCTTGGGGAAATATTAAATCTTGCGACTTCTCCGCCAAACAAGCATCATAAAAGAGGCGATTGATGACAAAACTGAACCTCGTTTTGAGAACACACGAAAACGACAAGGAAGTTGCCCTTAGCTCATTTTCCAGAAAAATATCTGCATAAAAGAGAAGTTTCAAAATCAAATGCTCCTGCAGCTGCTTGGGCTAGATTAAGTACCGAGGGAATCTTTGCGTCTGCTTTTAAACTCTCGCTCACCGGTAATAATTATTAGTACGTATACCCTGCTCTGTGCTCGATCTGGTTCCCTCAGGATTAATCTGTTTTAAGACTAAAAAATACATACAGCGTTTTTTATAGCCTGTTCCAGGCTCTCAAATAGTAGGGATGACGAGGTGAAAGGCGTGCAAAAATATGAGCGCCTGAATCTAAGAACAGGGGGGCCCTTTTATTTTCCTGTTCGCGCTTTCTCAATTTCGCGGACCGACTATCTCGGAACCTGTAAGAGGGTACGTTTTTTCTTTCATCAGGTACACCCTCAAGAAAAAGTGTGTTTGACACTTACTCCTCTTCACTGACTTAAATTGTTTTCTTATGCTCTTTGGAATCTCAACTACCGTTTTCTACATTTTCATTTTAGTTAGTTATTTTAGATCCGAGCATGCATGCTTTACGAAATATTCCATGAAAATCGGAAAATAAAATTCGGCCTTCTCTCCAGTTGCCTCAGTTTCATGTTTTGAACAGGGTTAGAAAAAAACAATAAAGAAAGAAACTAAAAAAACTCAGTATAACTCCCTTAATAATATTTTTTAAAATAACCAGTTGTCACGAACATAAACTTCACACATTTTGACTACAAATAGCTAGAAAAACCTAAAAATTATAAATATCAAATACAAACTTTTGAATGTTACATCATCTCCAATCAGCATAAAGGGTGCCCACTGCATGACGTCAGAAAAGCGATTCTCTCTCATCGACTTCATGGCCTGGTGAAGAGATTCACTGGCGCTTTCACCACGAACAAGGTGCTCGTAAAAATGATTCATAAACCACATAGTAGCTTCGTCCTCTACAGCCCACTGTGCCGCCAACACGGCGCGTGCACCCGATGCTAGAAATGCTCGTGCGATTCCAACAATTCCCTCAGCCCTTACCTGACCACGTGCACTATGACAGCAGCTAAGGACAACCAGCTTGGCTGTTAGTCGAACTTGTGAAATTTCAGCCATCGTCAATAAGTAGTCTTCTTCGTGTGGAGTTCCGCAGAAGGTTACAGGGGAGAGAGCTATTTCTCCACGTTCAGCATAACCATGAGCAGCGAAGTGAATGAGACTTACTGAATGCATGCTGTCCAGGACTGCCTGCTTATTTGCATTCCTTCCAAGCAACGGTTGAACACCGAGCAGTCGCCCAATCATCTCTGCTTCTTCTCTCGCCCAAGGCAGTGAGTTTAACTGGAGAAGTTTTCCTTGGTAGTAGACATCACTAACGTCTGGCTCTCCTACGATCAGTGCACCGGTTTTACTATGGTAGTCTGTTGGACTGAGCTGAATCAACTTAAGAGTCGTCAAGGAAGGGACAATACGAATCCTGAAAGTATCCGATAAATACTTTCCATTATCATCCATTAAAGCAGCAAAAGGAATTGGATACAACAAGTTATCCGGTACAATAATGATTTCTGATTCTTGGAGTAAGTCAGCAACAGGAGCGACTATCATGTTGTAACCATCAGCAAGGGTTAAAGGTTTAGAGTCGTGATTTTCGTCTTCCTCTTCTACCATAAGACGCAGAGATTCGAAGCTGTCACCCTGAGATGGTTTGCATGATGGCGGGGAGCTTACACATGAAAACAATGATCGATCTTCGCATTGGTCTTGACGTAAATCAGGAGAGCTACCAAATTTCTTACTTCCAAACACTTTATCTGCATTTTCTTTGAGTCTCGTTTGTCGAAAAACTGTCATTTTGTTTGGCTTGAGGATCCAAAAGTGCATATGATCTATAAAGCAGGAAACATGAAGACAAGAACTAAGTGCATTTTTGTTCATGATATTTTCAATACCAATCCATGACTGTGGGTTCACTGATACCTCTTTTTCCACAGAGTATTTATCTGACAGTACGTCTGTCAGTTCTCTGGACCGTCCAAGCTCGGCAACGTAAAGGGCTTCATGATAATCACCTGTAGCAATCAACAACGTACAAAGAATAAGGTAAGGGGACACATGCTCATCAAAAAAAGAAATTTTGAATTGATCTTTCACTCTTAAAAAATCATGCATTTCTTCGCACTTCAGAATGCTTTCATACAGATTTCGCCGTACTTCATTTATGCTTCCTCCTGCCGCTAACACGTTCAGAGCAATGGAAAGGTGGCTCTTAAACTGCATTTCAAAGTCTCCTATTTCGTAACTTATCTCAAGTGCTTTATTAGCATATTCTTGACTCTTCGCATTAAGCTGAAATTCTCGACAAAGGTTTCCCAGATTTAAGTATGAAGCTCCAACACTACGTTTGTCTCCGATTTCCTCGTAAATCGTCAGTGCTTTTTGAAGGTATTCTTCAGCCTTGGTATATTGACCAACGCATAGGAACAGAGTTCCTAGATTTCCGTAATATGATGCTTCTCCCTCTGTGACACCAATTTCTTTCTCGATCACTAGTGCTTTTTGAAGGTATTCTTGAGCCTTGGTATATTGACCAACAGATCGGCACAGGATTCCCAGATTTCCGTAAGCAGATGCTTCTCCTTCTTTGTCACCGATTACTTTCTGGATCACTAGTGCTTTTTGAAGGTATTCTTGAGCCTTTTTATACTGAGCAACAGATAGGAACACAGTTCCTAGATTTACGTAATCTGATGCTTCTCCTTGTTTGTCACCAATTTCTTTCCTGATCACTAGTGCTTTTTGAAGGTATTCTTCAGCCTTGGTATATTGACCGACTGATCGGAACACAGCACCTAGATTTCCATAAATAGATGCTTCTCCTTTTTTGTCACCGATTACTTTCAGGATCATCAGTGCTTTTTGAAGGTATTCTTCAGCCTTGGTATATTGACCAACGGATTGGAACACAACTCCTAGATTTCCGTAAGTAGATGCTTCTTTATGTTTGTCACCGATTTTTTTGCTGATCACTAGTGCCTTTTGAAGGTATTCTTCAGCCTTGGTATATTGACCAACAGATTGGAACACAGCTCCCAGATTTCCGTAACATATTCCAACTCCGTGATCGTTTCCTGTCTCAATCAGGATGCTGAGTGCCTTTTCGCAACACTGTTTGGCTTCCTCGTATTTGCTTCTTTGAAAGTAGATGTCGGCTAGTTTTAGTAATATCATCCCTTCTTCTTCTTTTTGACCACTATTGTGTAGTGTCACGTGAAGCTTTTTACCACATTCTATTGCACGGGTGTGATCGTGCATAAGAGTATAGCCATCAAGAAGTTTATGGTATACATAGATAATAAGTGGTGTGGTAAGTTCTTTAATTGTTTCTAGGGCTTTACCGTTAAGGAGCACCAAACATTCGTTAAAGATGTCCACCGCTTTTACAATACGTCCATTGTTGAAAAGAAAAGTAGCAACGGCTGCACCAATATGAATGGCCTGTAGAAACTCCGAGATGTTGTCCATGACCCTTTTTTCTTGACCTTGAGAAAAAAATATTTCAAGAGTAAGAAAGTGGAATCACGATTCTTTAACTGAACAGTTAAACTTCTTGGGCAAGATAATCAAGCTTTCGTGTAAGATTTATTGAGGTAAGTTAAGGCAAGATCATAAGTGCTGGACCATCATTTCCTTGGCCTATAGACGTTGTCACGGTTTTCGACGCCATCTTGACGAGTATGAGAATCTAATGTCGAATAATTTCCGTAGAAGGGCTGTTCTAAAAAAAAAATGATTTGTAAACTAAAGCTTCACTCCTAAGGATTCTCCTAAACAACTTTGAGGGCGTTGCATGCACTAGAATACCTAGAACCACTTTTAAAAATTTTCTATACATTTGTCTGGAAGAAAGTCCCAGGAAAATTACAGACAAATATATGGAAAATCTATAGCACGCCTCTGGAGAAATGTAAGCACAGGTACGCCCCTAAAATGTTTTAGGACAAAACCTTTGCTTTTTAGCTTTAGTTTACAACTGATAGTTAGTTCAGAACAGCCGTTTACGGAAATTACTCGAAATTAGATTCTCATACAAACACTGCAATTTCTCACGCGTTTGCCTACTCGTCAAGATGTCGTACAAAACCGTGACAAGGTCTATTCTATACTTGTTGAATCTGCAAATGCAGAATGTCTATGAAAAAAATAGTTTTACAGAGTAGTTTGTAACCTACTATTTACCATCATACACCGTACAGTTGAAAATTCTGGAAAATACAACTGTTTCAGTCACAAGCTTTGAAAATTGGCGAACCCAGGTTCTCTCTTACTCCTGACTCATTCCCCACTCTGTTTGATATCTTTAGTTACTCAGTCTAACTTTTGTTTCTAATATTTGCCATTACATCTTATGAAGTGCTTTTATTTATAGTTTTTACCAGCTCCTTAATTTTTATTACTGGACTTTTACTCGCTCTTTGTTTTAAATGGATGTTATAAATGTAGGGCAAATTGGATTTGATGTCTAAAAATAGTCTTGCTTACAGCTGGCTTTTTTCGAAATGTAAAATTCTATGAGCCATATATATTTTAGGATAGGTCTTAATTTGTTACATTGCAGAGAAAAGGAATTTATATTTAAAGGCTGTGTACCTCGTTCCATTTTTAGTTCTGACACATTCGTCTTCTCTAGGACTTCAAAAATATTAAAGCGAAATGGTTTGGCTTTTCATTGGTGTTTATAAAATAGATAGAACATTACATGGCCGCTTAAAGATACGAAATTTCTTTTCTTGTGTTGAAGAATATTTACTCATTCGCTACGCTCACTCTTGAAATATTTTTTTCAACACTCGAAGAGACATTTCGTATCTCCGCGCGGCCACGTAATATCCTCTATTTATTTTTCATTCAAAGTATTGCTCCCCCGGCTAATTCCCGGCTAATTCCTCATAACCAAGTGAACAAAATGGTGTTCACGGCTATTCGAAGGCGAAATAGCTGAATTGTTAACTAACTGAACAAAAGAAACGTAAGAATACGTTAAACGTATCGCTGGAGGGATGTTGTCTACTTTTAAGGAGTATCTGCAAGGAAAACATATGTTATATCGCGAAACCATGCCGAGAAATAGGCCAAAGTTTTGAAGCAAGTCTTTGAGAAGGTAAGCTTGTTTATAACAAATCAGAAATAGTTTAAATGACTAATAAAGCAATTATTTAATTCGGCTTTCGGAAGATCTTGGACGATGTTATCCACCTCAGCCGATAACATCCTCCCCAATCTGCAGAATTCTTCACATCNAAACCATGCCGAGAAATAGGCCAAAGTTTTGAAGCAAGTCTTTGAGAAGGTAAGCTTGTTTATAACAAATCAGAAATAGTTTAAATGACTAATAAAGCAATTATTTAATTCGGCTTTCGGAAGATCTTGGACGATGTTATCCACCTCAGCCGATAACATCCTCCCCAATCTGCAGAATTCTTCACATCCTATTCCTCCTCATTTCAATAATTGCTAAATATTCATTATATATATATTTCATATACACCTTTCCGGGTATATTGCGAACCAATTAAATCACCAGCTCCCAGCTGGCTTGCTGTATCACCCATAAATGTAATAATCAACCATGAAAAGTAACTCTAACCATAAATGTAATAAAAGTTAACCATAAATGTAATACCCAACGTAAATGTAATAAAAACTAACCGTAAATGTAGTAGGTATAGAAAATCGTATGAATTCGATTTCACAAGCAATTTCATATGGTCAACAATAATTTTGTCTGGTTGTCAGCCATTTTGTATGTGTTTTTGTATTTCACACTTTCTCTTTTTTTCCAAAGAAGCTTCGGTACTGCGTTGTACAGCCTCTATTGGCACTCTATAAGCTGTTAATGTTTTCCTTGTTGACCAATCAGAAACTTCATTTCTTCATCTTTTGTTCTGTCACTTACCAAAAGATTGACATCATGAAGGTACCTCCGTGGTTTCCCTAGGGTATTTTGTTTGATATGCGTTCCGTTTTCCATAGAGCGAAAACTTTATCAACTATTGTAACAAAACAGGTTTAGTTATCAAATTTTATACTTATAAATATTTTCTCTCTACGGGTAGCGAGTCCGCGTTTGGGGTTAAGGTTGTCACATTCTTTTTAAAAGATGAGTTCAACGCGTCTGCTGAGCAAGACAAAAAAAACTGTTACTTATTTTTCGTTTTTAATTTATTTTTTCAAACACCTTGCCATCAGTTTTACAGGAAAGAACATGTAATCTACGCTGCAGGCCCCAAATTCAGGGACTTGAAAAGCTCAGCATCAGTGAAAACTCGCAATGCTGCAAATATGAAGAATTTACGAACAGATATAAATCGCTTTTCGTGTTATCTATGTTTGATATACTATTATAAGAGCAAGATGGTTTTGTTGGCAGGGCCTCAGTCCCTTGACCCTCCGTTGTATCGATGTTCCACTGTAATCTCAATTGGATGCCCAGGTATTGTTTGATCGCGAAGAACTTTTGGCCTACTTTGTCAGCGCACCACTGCTCATGAACTGCCATTGGACGGTATCCAATACCTCACATATTTACTTTACTTTACCTCCTCACCTTTACAGTGTACATATTCAGTACACTTTCAGTAAAGTACTGGTTGTGTACATAAAAAGGTATGCGTATTAAGGGGAGCTGTGAACTTTCCAAATTTTATGGAAACTAAGTAATGCTAACATCAATCGTGCTTGTTAAATTGTGGGAGACACAGAAATTAGGAGAAGCTTAACATCATCGATCACGCACAAATTCAATGATACAGATTCCTACAAAAGCAAAAACTCGGCGCCATATTAAGAATAATTGTAAGCTCTAGGATTTCAAGTCACCAAACCTTATACTAGTAAGTAACTTGCCTTAGTACTCTGTTTCTCTCAAGATGGTATTTGAAGCTCCCGGTGAAGCTTTCCGTTCTCGGAGCTTCGCCGCTTATTTGCCCTCTCGCCAATGAGGCTATGAGATGAACTTTTGTGCAATATTCTCAAAGTTCCTGTTTTCATCGGATGAGTCTTCTTTCATCTTCTAATCCGAAATTTTGACTTTCAAAAAGGAGTGCATTGCATTAAACAGAAAGAAATCAATCTTTAAAAAAGACTGTGCGAATCTGGACAAACATTATTTATTGTTTTGTTTGCCATAAGCTGTACAAAGCAAAAAAAAAAAAATCTAATTATTTAAACTCTCAGGGCGAGGAAGCCCAAGAGAAGCTACCGGGCTTATAAGGAATGGGCTCCCTCAGTTACATAATTAGAACAAAATATTATCATAATTACACATGGGAAAATCAATGGCAGAGCTACAGTAAATCTTAAAAATATGATTTTACTTTACAGTGGAACTAAAAATTATCTATAAATATATGATAACTACTATAAAAACGGTAAAAGATAACCGACAATAAAACACAAAAGGAGAAGTATCAACACCAAAATACTAATAATTAAGATTACTACTAATAATTAAAACTGTTCGCCATAATAAAAGTGTTTTTAAACCTATTTGTCTTACAAATCGGTAGTTTGAAGTATCTCTGGCTACGGGTGCAATAAGTGGACCCGTTGCGTGGCGGTAGCAGATCATGGAGCTTGTGGCTTTGGTCCCTTACAATTTGGTCAAATAGAGCATTACTCAAGGTCTTCTTCCTCTCGTACAGTGACGTGTTGTCTAGAGCTACTTAGAGCCTCAGCATAGGATAAATCGGGTTGTATTATCCACAACGCTCGCTTTTGCAACCTTTCCATTTCATTAGACAGATATTGCAGCAAAGAAGGATGAAAAACTGGGCACTCATATTCTAATACAGGGCGTATACATGTTGTATAGAAAAGTAGCATATCCTAGGGTGGAACTTGAGCGCGCTTTAGCTGTTTTAGGAAGAACAGGCGCGTTACAGCCTTTTTGCTGTGCAAGGTTAACGAACCCAGTAATCGAACGTAGTGGTGCCAAGATGTATTATAACACTTACGCTCTGAAAACCTAATTCCACCAATATTAACCCTACAAAAAGGAACGACATTCGGGAATGTTTTGCTTTCCAATAAAGTAAAGAGGACGAACATGCTTCGATACAAACATATGAAATAAAAGAAAATGATTTATGTTTGTGACATAATATATATGTTACACTACCAAGAGCTTGCCAGGAAATCTATCTCTAACTGTGAGTACAGTGGAGTACGATAAAGCTTTAGGACTCTTCGCATTTTATTAAGATCAGAAATCAGAGCCTCGTACGATAACGATACCAAGATAAAAAGAATGGAATACGTAGTTCAATTAGTCTGCAGTGCAGGCGTTTTTTGGGTGGGCGAAACATTGTTTGTGTTGGTAATATTGTTGTAGTTGCCATCTTTGATTTTATGACAGTGGAAGATTAGGGAGAGTAGAAATAGCAACCCTTACGGTAGGTGCGATGGCCCATCTCTCCTCTCTTCGGGAAGTTTCAACATGGCGCTTTCGCGAGCGAATTGCGCGCTCAAAGAAACGCCTGCACTGCAGGCTATAGTTCAATTAACATGCATGAAATAGACGTAAGCCGGGTGTTACATGGCTGTATCAACTGGGAATATTTATAAGCTTTTCTATATAAGGGAATCCACTACGTAAAGGTAAAACTATTTATTTGTATGAGCTCTTCAAACAGTTGCTTCGAACTTCCGAAATGACACGACAAACGATCCCTACTAATCGAGTTTGATGACGTCTGTTATACACAATCGCAAATCAAGAAACTTAGTGCGAAAATTAAGATCTCAAGTAAGATATATGAAATAGAAAAAGGTAAGCTAGCTAAGATGAGTTTATTTTTAAAAACCAACTACTTACCTCGAAGTCAGCCGCCCTTTCGTTCCTTTAGCCGATGTGGAAAAATCTGGGACTTTCCCTGCATTCCAAGAAACAAGAACTATTATGGCAAATTCAAAACTAGATGCCGAATAGTGCCGGAAGACCGATTTAAAAAATGTCTAATATAAATACCTTAATGTGTACATTTTTTGTGTCGAGATAAGGAGCCGACAACGAATAGTCCAAAATGAGTAATTTCGGAATAGGATAAAACAATGTAAGCAAAATCTTTCTTTGGAAAAGAGTCAATTCGCCAATATGAAGGACGCAAAACGAACGAAAGTTTAAACTGTTTCGCTTTTTTGGAAAGTAAAAAGAGCTAAGTAAACATCCTGTCATACAAAAATTTTATTTAAAAAACTGAAATGGAGTTTGTTTGTCACATATAATGAAAATGTTTACACACAGGACATCAAAGTGTGGTCAAAACATTGGAGACACACTCGCCTACGTCTTACGCTTGTCACATTTTTGTTCTGACTTACTACGTACATTTTGACGTCGCCTGTAAGCAAAGGCGTTTTTGAGGAACGGACGGCAACCGGAAGGGGACTTTTTGCATTCCTGGCCAGTAATTTTATCCAGATTTCTGGACAAATTGTCTCCATAAAGACACTTAGCGATACACTTTGTTAACGTCAAGGCATCACTTCCGGTTGTCTTGCGTTGCTCAAAATGCAAGATCCCCATTTACGCGGAAAATAATGTAATCTGATAATGTAATATAGTCATTAACACGTTCCATTAGGCAGTGTTGAAAATGAACATACTCTTTATTCCGACTTTTAGATAACTTTTCCGTACAAGACTCCTAATAACTTGAGGTCCTTTCCGAGATATGCCGACGACACAAAACCGATCCGAACTAGAAAATGAATGAATGATCCGATTACATTCGATGATCTCTCCAACACTTATTTACATCACGTGTTCTCGAGCTATCGACCAGTCCCAACTCGCTTACAACAGGCAAGGACACCCAGAGCCAAATACCGTTTTTTCAAACTTCATCGCGATTAGTTCAATTTTCGAAGAAGTATATTTCAATGATTACATGTAATGTTGTTTCAAACCCGTAGATTATTGCTTGTATTGGAATTTTCTCTTTTGAATCAAATATGCACGTAGTGGCTTAAATATGTTTGATCCTTCTTTTATTCCTCAGTTCTATATAGGTATCTGGATATCAGAAAGAGTATACTCCTGGTGTTAGCTACTTTATGTGTAATGTATGTGAAACGCAATTGAAAGCAACTAAACGGATATAGAATAAACGGGAATGACGATTGCGAAACGTATACATATTAAGAAACTGACTTCGTGTTACCTTAGCAAGAGGAAGAGGACGTAGACATAAGAAAGAGGAACGCTTGACCTTCGGTTTGTGTTTTGCATGCATGCATTAAAATTATTGCGGTCTTAAACTGCAATTGCCTTTACAGCTTAGCTGAGTTTCCTTTTAATCGAAATAACAACCAGTGACGGTTCAATACGGAAAGGTGTCAGGGTTCTGAGTCAGGTAAGCATTTCTGTACCGTAGTGAACTCACCGATTGGCTCTTAAAGTTGCCTTGGTGCCTACCCTTGTAGCTAGCTTCTCTGTTGTTGCGCTGTACTGATGAACCACAAGAATGGCGAAACAGCTGTCTACGGCTACAACCCCGCTCTGTTTTGGGCTCTTTCAGTGTCGTGTTGATGTCTTGCAAAGTTAATTTTCATTTAGTATGATCAACTTTGCAGAATTCAATGCTTCTTGTTCCTAGGCCGATTTTTTGTGTAGGAAAAGGCCTGGGAACGAGGTTGTTTCCCCTGCATTTCTGGGTCGTCCCCAGTCGCCCTTTCAAATTTATACGCGGTTGTGATACGGCTGCGGAAGACTGGCGCGGGAACTCAAAGAAGGGGGCAGAGAAAGGAAAGAGGTCGTCGCCTCCCTTTATCCATCCCAACCCCCCTCCCCCGTGCATATCTTCTACGTGCTTCCATCGTTAATATTTGAAAAAGTCCCTACACCAGGTTTCACATTCAGCGTTCAGTTCCCTGGCTAACTATTTAACGTTCAAGAACACATGTCAAGCAAACGGTGCTCTTAAGTCTTGAATCTCACAACATTTACTTGTCTGAGCCTATTTTGAGTCCATGTTGTCGCTGTGTGAGTTATGCCGTCACAAAATGCATTGTTTCGAGATGCGGCCTGACTACAGAAGTCCAAGATGGCGGCTAATTTGGGTCATCACGTTAATTTTACAACGTAGGACGTCATACTGACAATTTCACTCTCTTTAAATGCATATTTTTACTCAGATTTTTTGGCCGCATTTTACCTATTTTCGATCTGAAAAAGAAGAGAAGAAATGTAACGGTGGCATGGAGTCCAAAATGGCAGTCATCTCGAGTCATGACAAGTTAATCGACGTATGACGTGGTCAAGGCTGGTGAGATATTTCGATTTTCAGATAACTTTTTTTGGTTTTTAGATCTGATCGTTTCGCACAATCCGCGAACTATTTCATGATGCTCACAAATTTTATGATGCTATATTTGTAATTACTGACAGCAGAAACACACTGTTTCCATTGGCTAAAAATAGTGATTTTCAGTTTTGTAAAGAAAGTGAGGGAAGCCTTTGTGTATTATTCGTCATGTAATAAGGAGGTATATACGTCTACTGCCTAAAGAAGCTTAAAGAATTTCCGAATAGGTAATCCCTACCACAAAGACTGTACTTGGCTCCAGTTCATATTTCAGAGTGACTCGATGCGATTTTTCTTTCTTGTGCGGCGGTGATTTGTAATTAATGCCTCGTTTAATTTTTACAAGTTGCGGCTATGGTAATTGACTATGAGCAAACAAATTGGCCCCAGCTGGGACGATGTACTTTCTTATGTTGAAGTGTCCACAAAAACTTTTACTGTCAAGTTTTAAACTGTGGACTGGCCTTATTTAAATGAATTGAGTGCTTGGTCGAGTTTTTCGGCAGCTTTAGGGTGAATCCTTATAACCAAGAATGGCAGGAGGAACTCGTCACACGAACTTCTGTGACAACATAGAAGCCTATCACAACAAAAAGAAAGAAGAGCAATTTTATGACTTTATCATCCGGGACAAAGATGTCCCGGATGTTTTTTCTTCTGTATTTAGATGTGATCGTTTTGCACCATCCGCGAACTATTTCATGATACTCACAAATTTTATGATGCTATTTTTGTAATTACTGACAACACCAACATACTGTTTCCATTTGCTCAAAACAGTGGTTGTCATGCAGCTTTATAAAGAAGGAGAGAGAAGCCGTTGTGCATTATTCTTCATATAATAGAGAGATTAAGATTCACGGTTACGCCAAACAGCAAACGTCAGATTCATGTTGAGATTGTCTCAGAATAGAAAATAAGCAGATAAAAACTCTCCAGAACAATTCTTATGGAAAAAAACTGGCGTGAAGCTACTTATTTTTTAGTAGAAGTAATAAAAAGTAAACGAAAATTACGGGGAAAACCTGGTCACGTGGTACAAATTCACGTTTGCCGTTTGGCGTAAACGTGAATCTTAAACTCTCTAATAAGGAGGTACACACGTCTACTGTTCAAAGAATTTCCGAACAGGTAATCCATACCAAGACTTGTCTTAAGAATCTATAAAGTTNAAAACTGGCGTGAAGCTACTTATTTTTTAGTAGAAGTAATAAAAAGTAAACGAAAATTACGGGGAAAACCTGGTCACGTGGTACAAATTCACGTTTGCCGTTTGGCGTAAACGTGAATCTTAAACTCTCTAATAAGGAGGTACACACGTCTACTGTTCAAAGAATTTCCGAACAGGTAATCCATACCAAGACTTGTCTTAAGAATCTATAAAGTTTTAGAATCGTTTCAGTTCAGTATTTCAGAGTGACTCAAAGCAATTTTCCTTCTTGTGCGGTGAGTTGTAATTTGACTTGTTTAATTTTTACAAGCTGTTGCTATGGTAATTGACTCTGAGCAAACAAATTTGCGTCAGCTGGGATATTTGAAGTGTCCAGATTGGCCTCATTTAAATCGGAGTTGATCTAGTGCTTGGTGGTGTTTTTTTTTTCAGCTTCAGAGGGTAAATTCTTCTAACCAAGAATGGCAGGAGGAACTCGTCACAGGAACTTCTGTAACAACATAGAAACCTATCACAAGAAAAAGAAAGAGGAGCAATTTTATGACTTTACCATGCGGGACAAAGATGACCTGGAGGTTAAATCACACAAATTTATTCTTGCTTCTCAATATAATGTTTTTACTTCGCAGATTTATTACGCTTCCATTCAAATTGCGTTGAGACTAAATTTGTAAATTTTTCAAATGATGAGATCAAGAGGTGCATTGACCAGTCGCCTGATTATGGCCACGTGATTGGGCTTGGTTACACACTGGAAATAAAAGAACTAGTTGAAGCAGGCGTTTCAGTTCTTACTCACGCTACTCGGAAATTGTTTTTCCTTAAAAATTGAAGAGCCTTTAACACTTTCATGAACATTTGCTGAGCAGAAATTTCGACAGACTTATTAGAAATTTCATGAACGAGTAGTATTCTATACTGTGTAAGCTTCATATGGTGTCGAAGGGGGTTTAGGCCTATGGAATCTCTCGCTAACCTGTCCAACATGCATTCTCAGAAATTCAGAGCATTCCGTTGGGTCTCAGTAGGAAACGAGAGCACGAAAGTTTTCAAGCACGGCTTCAGGACTGCCTCTCGGTTTTTGAGGATGAGATTTTTCACAGATTAAGCACCCGAAAGCCTCGAAAAATTAAGCAGGTGGTCATTATAACAAGTGACCTAAAAAACAAAAAACCAAGGCTAAAAGTGTTCTTTACTATGTGAAAAATACCTGACCTGAATCTAGGCAAATCTTCGAGCAGAAAAGTTTGACAGTGCCTTCGTCCGAGGAGTTGGAGGAAAAAAGTCTTCCACCAAAAAATTCCCTTCAATTTTTGAAGACATTGGGCCGGTTATTTAAAAGGAGTTTAGCCAGTGTTTGACAAAACCTCGTTCTAAGCGATTTTCATTATGTTGCCGAACGCTTTCATGTTAACACCATTTTTCGTGAACAGTTTCAAGAAAGCAAATGGCGTAGACTAGTAAAGCATTTGCCTTCTTAAAATAACCCACTAAGGAAGAGATCTTGAGTTCCAAAGACTTCATAAGCCGCGGTCTAAGTTAGAGTTCGTTATAATAACTGACCAATTTTGTTCACATCTACTTCATCAGCATGCTAACTCACGTAGAAAAAGTATCTTCGTTAATAAGAATTGACTTCAAAAGTTGTCTCATCTCTTGCGTCTTTTCAGTTATAGAACAAATAAGACATCAAAATGTGGTCAGACAGTATGCCGGTCTATGTGACACACTCGCCTACGGCGCCCACACGCCACAAGTTTGTTATTTTGAACTCGTCTGAAGGCGAGCAAAGGCGTTTTTGAGATCGACCGACGGCAACTGGATGTGTACCTTTTTGCTTTCTTGCCCAGCGGTTTTGCCCATATTTTTAGACAAATCGTCATAAGAGTAGAGACACTTGGCAGTACAAATTTGTTCGCGTTAAGGTATAGGGAAAAGCTCTCACCTAGCCCCGCTGGGATTGACATGCGTCGAAAATACGCCTGATGTAGTTGCTGGTGGCCAATTTTCGGCCATTTTCCCTTTTGTCTAACCCACTGGAGTTAAGAATAGACTTGAATTTTAGCGCCTGCGACTGAAAAGGTCCCGGATGTATGTCGTCTCATTCTAGCTAATGGTTTGTTGGCGTCGCTCAAAAACGCGTTTGCTTGTGATCTTGTTAAAAGTCATTGCACCATCGACTAGGAGGAGACTGGCACGGAAATTCGATGAAGGGGAAAGAGAGAAGAAACATTTATTTCCCATCTTCCTCCGTGCATATATGCTTTGCTCTATGATTGTTTTCCACCTAAATTTCTTGACCCACTCCGCCTGCCAGTATGACGTCACATAGTAACGGGCAAGAGCCTCGGGTCGCTTGTGCAAATTAGCGGGGGATACGACAGTTATTTGGACGAGCGAGGTCGAGGAAAAGCAAAGAAGTTAACAACTATCGCTATATATCGTTTATTTGATCGAATGTGTGTGAGCTTTGGTGTTGCTATAATCTGCTTGTGTAAACCGTTTTGATATTTTGTGTCCGTGATTGTAAAATTTTGTTAATTTGTTTTGCGAGCCGTGTTGCGGGATCGGCATCTATTTCACGGGACCGGCAAGGTCACCAAAACTTGAATCTTTTTTTTTTCTCTAAAATTAGCAAGGTCTAGTCTCCAGAATAGGAGGTTCCATTCACAGATCATGCATGTTTATATTTCATCTATTCTTTTGCTAATTAAATGGGCCTAACTTCATATCTTTCCTTTCGAGTGTGGGTCTCTGTTGATCTCCTAATTCTCCACTAAATTCCGTAAAGCTAGTTCGATCGATTATCTACATCGAGTCGGCCCGTTGAACCGGAAATAATGCGAAAATAGCTTTGAAATACGCGCTTAAGCTAATTTTCCTCAAATGTATATTTGAATTCATGATAAATACAGCTCTACCAGCTTCAAACAGCGTCTATGGCAGAGAAAAATTGTTTTGATATGACAAAATTAATTTTTGAAATCATGTGTGTGGTGCAGTGGTCAAGGAGTTTCTTGCACGTGCAGATAAACCGGGTTCGACTCCCGGCGACGCTGCTTTCTGTTTCTTTGTACCGTTTTTTTCTTCCCTGTTTTTTTTTTTTTTAACACTATTTTTCCTTTTGGCCTTTTTTTCTTTTTTCTTACTGCAGACCCTGCTGGTCATGCACTTGGATCAATATATATTTTAAGCTTAACTCCGGAGTTTTATTTTAGAAAAAAGATTTCAAAAGCTCTTGATCTGCCTACTGGCCAAGCTTACGACCAGATAAAAACGATAAGCTGTCAAGACATGTCCCTCCTCTGAAACAGCTAATTTTTTTCAATGTTAGTTGACGTCATGACAAACACACACACAGTACACCACAAACTGTACTAATATACACCCAACACCCACCAGTGACCCACTGGCGAAAGTTAAACTTACCTTTTGTACATCGTCTTAACCATCAATATTATTACCCTAAAATCTTCACTGGGTTTGCCCCCAAAAAATAATTAAAAGAAACCTTTTATTAGTTTTCGGGATTTAATTACAGAATGCCAGGTGTATGCCCAATACAGTATTAAAATGCGGTAAGGCAACTAGATCCAAAGCTCACAGTCTCTCACAAATACCTGTCATTTAGCTTCCCCTTTCAACACTACAGCTAAGCGAACTTTGAGAGGAATGATTTGGGGTTTCACTAGCTCTGAAGAGCTGAAAATACGCACAGTGTAAAGTATAATACATCCTTTGATGAACCTCCTATTGCTGTCTCTATTCTCCTCCATCTTGCTGTGCACTGTCCCTCAAAAGTGTGACCGGTCGGTATGATTGCCCGTAAAATTTGCTCGACGATAGAAAGGAATCTTTAAAATTCATTACACCACTGGACATTTCATTGCAAAAAAAGTACTTAAATCTAATTTTCTATGACAATAGAAACCTTAAAATCTCCAAATCCAAGAAATCGGAACGGTATTTCCGTGACAAAATTGAAATTTTTATCCGTCTCTTCGATGAACACTTTGCTCGCCATTTTGAAAGTCACTGCCGCGAGACGTGACGTCATACTGGCAGGCGGACTGTACCACAGATTTCCTTGGAGACACCTTCCCCCCCCCCTGCCTTTGCGCTTCCGTCGTTAGTATTAAATAAGAGAAAGAGACAAGCGAGCGACCTACGGCAACTGGATGTGTACCTTTTTGCTCTCTTGTCCAGCGGTTTTGCTCATATTTTTAGACAAATCGTCATAAGATCAGAGACACTTAGCTGTACAAATTTGTTTGCGTTGATTAGGCATAGGGAAAAGGCCCGACACCTAGCCCCGCTGGGTTGACGTACGTTGCTAACATGCCTGACGTAGGTGCTGGTCGCCGATTTTCGGCCGTTTTCCCTTTTGTCTGACCGACTACATGTTAAAAGGTCCCAGATGTATATCGTCTCATTCTTGGCGATAGGTTGATGTGTGTCGCTCAAAAACGCGTTTTCCTTAGCTGTCATAATGCCTGGAAAAATGTGATCTTGTTTTAACAAGATCACATTAAAAAAAGTCGTTGCACCATCGACCTGGAGGAGACTGGCACGGAAATTCGATGAAGGGGAAAGAGAGAGGAAATATTTATTCCCCATATTTCCCCGTGCATATATCCTATGCGCTCCCGTCGTTAATGTTTAATAAAAGAGAGAAACAAGCGAGGCGACTGGGAGTAATCATTCCCTCCACCAGATTTCACATTCAGCGTTCCATCAGTCCCCCGACTAACTTTTTAATTGAGGCGTTGAAAAACACAAGCAAACGGAGCTGTTAAGTCTTGAATCTCCAAGAGTCTGCTTGGTGTTTATGCCCCGGTCGAATAGTCACAACATTTGTTCTGAGGTTGTTTAGAGCCCATGTTGTTGTTGTGCACGGTCATCCCCTCACAAAAATAGCAGTTATTTTGAATCATCCCGTTAATTTTACGAGGTATGACTTTCGTCTTGGATGTTGTTCGTCATTAAATGGAAGCATGGGTAAGGATGTACAAAATGACCACTTAATTTAACAAAGTTCTCATTTTTTTCGCAAAATATTGAACTTGTTTCCGTTGAAAACGCTTTGCGCCGAAGTAAATTTTGCTGACAAACGGTATCACCTGTTTAAGTTCTTAAACATCTCTAACTTTTTTATTAAACTTACAAAACAGTTAGAAAATCAACAGCGCATTAGTACTTATATGTTGTATGCTTCCAGTGAAATAAAAGTAGCAATCCTAGCTTTGAATTCAGTTTTGAAAGCAAGGACCAACGTTACAAAATAGAGAAGCACTGGATCCTAATAGAGGATCTAATCAGCTATAAATTAAAATATCTGAACAACGGAAAGAAGCAAGGCTGATTTTAAAGTTGCAATACTTTGCTTAGGTTTCCAAATTTTTCTCGTTTGACCGCAGAGGAGGCTTGTCCACAGTGGTCCCCTCCCCGTCATTTATACGCGGTCGCGAATCGACCGTGGGAGATTGGCTCGGGAACTCGACAAAAGATAATTGCCAAAGGTCATTGTCTAATTGATTAGGTCATTGTCTAATCGTCTCCCCGCTTCTTTCTTCCCAGCTGTTCCGCGCGTATCTCCTGCGCGCTTCTCTCTTTAATATTTAAACTCTCTCACAGGGAGCTTGGGAGAGACTGACGAGACGACTGGGAACGGAGGAATCTACCAGATTTTACATCCAGCGCTCCATCCCATCATTCCTCCTGTTAACAAAAGAGAATGAGCTGATTCGGCCCTTGCTGTTAATTATTTCACTGAGGCGGAGGGGAACACTAACGACAAGTCCTGACAGGATCAGGTTAAAATTGCAGCTGGTCATGTTTTGTTGTTATTATGTGACTCATTGCTGGAAAGTGAAAGCCACATTGTCCAACTGACGAACAGTTACGGTGTTTAGATTTTCTATTTAGTAGACTTTCAGATATTTCGAGCAACAGCAATTTGCCGTCTGTCCTCACTAAATAACTAACCCTGTTCACTAAGTAGTCTCTTCTCTTGAACAAAGTTATTTGATGAGCGCTTTAGCTCAGAAAACAGCTAACCTACCTTATTTATAACAGACCTCTAGTCAGAGGGGTAAAATTCTAATAGAAATAAACTAACAAATTACACAAAGACGCTGTAACGATTGATAAGTAGGCTCATTTCTAAGAAAACCAAAATGACATATCTGGAAAGAGTTTAGAATTTCCCGACATTCTAAAGATGTCAAGTCCGTTTCATAACTGAACCGGGTTCCTAACGCATAGGAACGGAAGAGAGAACCCAACCTCGTCCCCAGGGCGCTTTTCCCTGGCTTTCCCTGGCGCCCCACCTCCAAAGCCAGGGAAAAGCGCCCTGGGAACGAGGTTGAAGCGAACCCACTCAGATAAATCGCTACTTCTAAATTCTAGTGAGCACCCACCCATTCAATGGCGTGTCAGTTTACGTTTGAAAAAAAAAAAAAAAAAAAAAAAAAAAAAAAAAAAAANGATCAGCCCCAGCAGGTATGACAGGGCAGGGCAGAGGATTGGAAAACGCCTGATTCAAAACGGAAGAATAAAATTTCGTACATCGCCTGAGTTGTTAAGTCTTATCAGTCACTAACAGGCGGGTCTTTCGATATATTTAAAAAAATTAGCACGATAGCGAGTCTTGGAGGACACAAACCTCTTTATTCATTCTCTTTGTTTGTGTCCTCTAAAACTCGCCATCATGCTGAATTCCTTTTGAACTTTCCTCTGAACACTGTCACTTCTCTAAAACAGTAATCAATGAAGCATTGTGGTGGTGAATGATCTTAGGCAAATAGAAAAAGCTTAAAAACCAATACCGTAAGTATCGTATTGACGCCAAGCAGGGGCACTCAACGACGGTTTTTCCGTAAAATATCTGTTCGGAGACGCAAATATTGCGTATAGAATTCTCTATTATTTGAGGGCAGCTAAAAATTTCTAGATGACAGTTCCGTTCATGTACAATTTCGGTGACTAATTCCCTACGATTTTCTGAAGTAAAAATATTTTGTCACATTTCACTTTAGGTTAAGCTATGTTTCGTAGAAAAAAGGAAACCTAAGGTTATTTTCGGATTCAAAAGTGTGATGGAGACAGGATTCAGAAAAATTCTCACTTTCGTAATACGTTAAATTGCATCTAAAATTTTCGGGAAAATGATACAGAAGCCCTTGCGCTTAATTCCAGAGGACACTTGCGTCCCTTTTCTTAGCTTAGATATCTATTGGCATTTCATCACGTTCGTCAAGATCAGTGTATTTACAAAGTTTATCAAACCAAAGAAATACTTGTGTTCATGCAAGTGATTGAGCGTATTTGAAGCAAGCATGAAGCGCACGATTGACGGGTAGCAGAAGTCATGTAGAACGAAAGAAGCCCTGACTAATCTGATAGTAGACGTAGGTTGAGGAGTATACAACTTTGACGTCTCCACTCTGAGGACGACTAACTGGTCCTGCCTACACCTCCCCCTTCTCCTTGTGTTCCGCGCTCAGCTCATGCTTCACCTTCGCCTGTAACGTATCAAAATGGCGCCTGCTTTAAAAAGTACAATTATCACCTGTTCTTTTTGCGGGTCTCAGACAAGACTACTTCATTGAGATCCGTGGTATATACATTTATATGTACAGCTGTGACAGAAGTTGTCAACTTAAACGACATGTTTCCTCTCAGTTTACAAGTTCTTTGTTTCCGTTGCACCTTCACCATCTTTTAAACTGCTCTTATCAAATGCACCTGCAAAGAGAAAAAATAATCATGTATGTGTTCGTATGCATTCTTTGATCGATTTATTTTAGCCATCGATCAACATGCTTCTGTTGCTCGTTCGCTAATTATTCTACCTTAATATCTCTAACACATTCAAAGGCAAACAAATAGCAAACCTTTACACTTTGAGGAAATTAGTTATATGCTAAAAGTTTAGTAAAGTCGTATTGTATCACTTTCAGCTTAAATGCGATTCGTATGTATAAATTTCGCACTGCATACCTATTGTTCCGACACGGGGGAACTAAGTTATGGGAGGCAACCGCGACTGCCAGGATAATAGGCATGCCGAATAATAAGGGTTAGCGACGTCAACCGCCACCAGGGGAGGTGGGAGGGGCGAAATTTCTAAGTCATTTCCACTAACCTGCGTTGAACTAGCCAAGAGGCGGGCAAAAACTAAGCAAATGTAACCAAGGGCCGCGATGAATCATGCCACCAGCGCGCAGCCTCAAAACGACGGAATTTACGGAGTTACTTAATTCCCGCGTCACGGGCCAATAATGTATGCAGTGGGAATATTTTATTTTATTTTAATTTCCTCCGTTTTCTGTTTGCATACTGATCAGATTATATCTTGAGGAAGGAGGTTCATACCAAGACAACCATGCTATCCCTTGCAGCCCGTGTAATGGTTGCCCAAAATATCAACAATCTCCTCTGTTACAAAATCGCGACTACGAAGAGAACTAAAGCGAAACGTATTGTAGAACCCAATTGAATCGAATGAAATACAGTCTTGGGGAAATATTAAATCTTGCGACTTCTCCGCGAAACAAGCATCATAAAAGAGGTAGTCTGCTACACAGCCGTTTTTAGTGTCGACACTAAAAACGGCTGTGTAGCAGACTATAAAAGAGGCGACTGATGACAAAACTGAACCTCGTTTTAAGAACACACGAAAACGACAAGGAAGTTGCCCTTAGCTCATTTTCCAGAAAAAAAAAAAAGAAAAATATCTCCATAAAAAATAAGTTTCAAAATAAAATGCTCCTGCAGCTGCTTGGGCTACATTAAGTACCGAGGGAATCTTTGCGTCTGCTTTTAAACTCTCGCTCACCGGTAATAATTATTAGTACGTATACCCTGCTCTGAGCTGGACCTGGTTCCTACAGGATTAATCTGTTTTAAGACTAAAAAATACACACAGCGTTTTTTATAGCCTGTTCCAGGCTCTCAGTTAGTAGGGATGACGAGGTGAAAGGCGTACAAAAATATGAGCGCCTGAATCTGAGAAAAGGGGGGGCCTGTTCGCGCTTTCTCAATTTCGCCGACCGATTATCTCGGAACCTGTACCAGGCTACGTTTTTTCTTTCATCAGGTACATCATTAAGAAAAAGTGTGTTTGACACTTACTCCTCTTCTCTGACTTCAATTGATTTTTTATGCTGTTTGGAATCTAAACTACTGTTTTCTACATTTTCATTTTAGTTAGTTACTTTAGATCCGAGCATGCATGCCCTACGAAATATTCCATGAGATTCGGAAAATAGAATTCGGCCTTCTCTCCAGTGGCCTCACTTTCATGTCTTGAACAGGGTTAGAAAAAAACAATAAAGAAAGAAACTAACAAAACTTATTTCTCAAAATAACGAGTTGTCACGAACATAAACTTCACACATTTTGACTACAAATAGCTAGAAAAACCTAAAAATTATAAATATCAAATACAAACCTTTGAATGTTACATCATCTCCAATCAGCATAAAGGGTGCCCACTGCATGACGTCAGAAAAGCGAGTCTCTCTCATCGACTTCATTGCCTGGTGAAGAGATTCACTGGCGCTTTCACCACGAACAAGGTGCTCGTAAAAATGATTCATAAACCACATAGTAGCTTCATCCTCTACAGCCCACAGTGCCGCCAACACGGCGCGTGCACCCGATGCTAGAAATGCTCGAGCGATTCCAACAATTCCCTCAGCCCTTACCTGACCACGTGCACTATGACAGCAGCTAAGGACAACCAGCTTGGCTGTTAGTCGAACTTGTGAAATTTCAGCCATCGTCAATAAGTAGTCCTCTTCGTGTGGAGTTCCGCAGGAGCTTACAGGGGAGAGAGCTATTTCTCCACGTTCAGCATAACCATGAGCAGCGAAGTGAATGAGACTTACTGAATGCATGCTGTCCAGGACTGCCTGCTTATTTGCATTCCTTCCAAGCAACGGTTGAACACCGAGCAGTCGCCCAATCATCTCTGCTTCCTTTCTGGCCCAAGGCAGTGAGTTTAACTGTAGAAGTTTTCCTTGGTAGTATACATCACCAACTTCTGGCTCTCCTACGATCAGTGCACCGGTTGCACTATGGTAGTCTGTTGGACTGAGCTGAATCAACTTAAGAGTCGCCAAGGAAGGGACAATACGAATCCTGAAGGTATCCGATAAATACTTTCCATTGTCATCCATTAAAGCAGCAAAAGGAATTGGATACAACAAGTTATCCGGTACAATAATGATTTCTGATTCTTGGAGTAAGTCAGCCACAGGAGCTACTATCATGTTGTAACCATCAGCAAGGGTTAAAGGTTTAGAGTCGTGATTTTCGTCTTCCTCTTCTTCTATAAGACGCAAAGACTCGAAGCTGTCACCCTGAGATGGTTTGCACGATGGCGGGGAACTTACACATGAAAACAATGATCGATCTTCGCATTGGTCTTGACGTAAATCTAGAGAGCCACCAAATGTCTGATTTCCAAACACTTTATCTGCACTTTCTTTGAGTCTCGTTTGTCGAAAAACTATCATTTTGTTTGGCTTGAGGATCCAAAAGAACATATCATCACCGAAGCAGGAAACATAAAGACAAGAACTAAGTGTATTTTTGTTCATGATGTTCTCAATACCAATCCGTGACAGCTGTGGCTTGACTGATACGCCTTTATCTACAGAGTACTTATCTGACAGTACGTCTGTCAGTGCTCTGGACCGTCCAAGCTCGGCAACGTAAAGAGCTTCATAATGACTGCCTGCAGCAATCAACAACCTACAAAGAATAAGGTACGGGGACACATGCTCATCAAAAAAAGAAATTTTAAATTGATCTTTCAGTCTTAAAAAATCATGCATTTCTTCGCACTTCTGAATGCTTTCATACAGATTTCGCAGAATTTCAGTTATGCTTCCTCCTATCACTAACGAGTTCAGAGCAATGATAAGGTGGCTGTTAAACTGCATTTCAATGTCCCCTATTTGGTAACTTATCTCAAGTGCTTTATTAGCAAATTCTTGACTCTTCTCATAAAGCTGAAATTTTAGACAAAGTTTTCCCAGATTTAAGTATGAAGCTCCAACACCACGTCTGTTTCCGATTTTTTCGTTTATCGTCAATGCTTTATGAAGGTATTTTTCAGCCTTGCTGTATTGACCAACAGATTGAAACACCATTCCTAGATTTATGTAATCTGATGCTTCTCCTTGTTTGTCGTTGATTTCTTTCCTGATCACTAGTGCTTTTTTAAGGTATTCTTCAGCCTTGGTATACTGACCAACAGAAAGAAACACAGTTCCTAGACTTCCGTAATCTGACGCTTCTCCTTGTTTGTAGTTGATTTCTTTACTGATCACTAGTGCTTTTTGAAGGTGTTTTTGAGCCTTGGTATACTGACCAACAGAAAGAAATACAGTTCCTAGATTTCTATAAGCTGACGCTTCTCCTTGTTTGTCGCCGATTTCTTTCCTGATCACGAGTGCTTTTTGAAGGTATTCCTCAGCCCTGGTATACTGACCAACAGGAAGAAACACAGTTCCTAGATTTCCGTAAGCTGACGCTTCCCCTTCTTTGTCACCGATTTCTTTGCTGATCGCCAATGCTTTTTGAAGGTATTCTTCAGCCTTGGTATACTGACCAACAGATTGGAACACAGTTCCTAGATTTCCGTTATCTGAAGCTTCTCCTTTTTTGTCACCGATTTCTTTGCTGATCTCTAGTGCATTTTGAAGGTATTCTTCAGCCTTGGTATACTGACCAACTGAAAGAAACACAGTTCCTAGATTTCCGTAAGCTGATGCTTCTCCTCGTTTGTCACCGAGTTCTTTGTTTATCACCTCTGCTTTTTGAAGGTATTCTTCAGCCTTGGTATATTGACCAACAGATTGAAATACGTTTCCCATATTTCCGTAAGCTGATGCTTCCCCTTCTTTGTCACCGATTTCTTTACTGATCACTAGTGCTTTTTGGAGGTACTCTTCAGCCTTGGTATATTGACCAACAGATTTAAACACAGTTCCTAGATTTGCGTAAACTGATGCTTCTCCTTTTTTGTCACCGATTTCTTTCCTGATCATTAGTGCTTTTTGAAGGTATTCTTCAGCCCTGGTATATTGACCAACAGATTTAAACACAGCTCCTAGATTTCCGCAATCTGCAGCTTCTCCTTGTTTGTCACCGATTTCTTTGCTTATCATTAGTGCTTTTTGAAGGTATTCTTCAGCCTTGGTATATTGACCTACAGAAACAAACACAGTTCCTAGATTTCCGTAATCTGATGCTTCTCCTTCTTTGTCACCGATTTCTTTCCTTATCACTAGCGCCTTTTGTAGGTATTCTTCGGCCTTGGTATATTGATCAACAGCTTGAAACACAGTTCCAAGATTTCCGTAATCTGATGCTTCTCCTCTTTTGTCACCGATTTCTTTCCTGATCACTAGTGCTTTTTCAAGGTATTCTTCGGCCTTGGTATATTGACCAACAGATTGAAAGACAGCTCCCAGATTTCCGTAACACATTCCAACTCCGCGATTATTTCCAGTCTCATACATGATGCTGAGTGCCTCCTCGTAAAACTGTTTTGCTTCCTCGTTTTTGCTTGTTTGATAGTAGATGCACGCTAGTTTATGTAATATATTCCCTTCTTCTTCCTTTTGGCCACGATTGTGTAGTGTCACGTGAAGCTTTTTACCACATTCTATTGCACAGGTGTGATCGTGCATAAGAGTATAGCCATCAAAAAGGTTATGGTATACATAGATAACAAGTGGTTCAGTAAGTTCTTTGATTGTCTCCAGGGCTTTACCTTTAAGGATTACTAAACATTCGTGAAAGGTGTCTACTGCTTTTTTAATATGTCCAGTGTTGAGAAGAAAAGTTGCAACGATTGCACCAATATGAATGGTCTGTAGAATCTCCGAGATGTTGTCCATGACGCTTTTTTCTGGACCTTGAGAAAAATTATTTTAAGAGTTAGTAAGAAGAGTGGAAACAAGATTATTAAAGTGTTTTTAACTGCAAATGCAGAACATTTTAATAAATAGTTTTACAGACTGAGTAGTTTGTAAACTACTGTTTACCGTCATACACCTTACTGTTAAAAATTCTGGAAAATAGAACTATTTTAACCACAAGCTTTGAAAATCGACGAACCCAGGTTCTCTCTCACTCGTAACTCATTCCTCACTCTGTTTGATATCTTTACTCACCCAGCCTTTTGTTTCTAATATTTGCCATTAAATCCTATATAGTGCTTCATAGCGGAACTGTAGCGCGCGCGAAGCGCGCCCAGCGGAGCACCACGGGGCAGAAAATTTGGTAAACTATCCATCCGAGAAAATTTGGT